GAAAAAGGACCTTGATAAGATATCTTATAGGATATTATTTAGTCTCCTTTTTAGAAATTCCTCATTCTGTATATGGTCATTACTTATTAGTAGATAAAAAATCCACTTGCAAGCAGTACCTCCTCAGAAGTGCTGGCAATAATATCAAAACCAATGTAAGAAAAGAAGACCGTAGCAGATCCTGCAAGCAATCCATTTATCCCAAAAGGAAAATACCTGGAAACTCAAAATCATGTATAACCTTCCTTTTTAGTGGGCATGTAACATTTCATCAAAATGGAATCAGATGGAACCGTTACCCGTTTGGAAGTCCATATCCTGCCCATCCACTCTTAAATCCGAGATATGTACCAGCAATGACAATAAACATCAAAGCAAAAATATTGACTGCTGTAATGATGGTCTGTGCAAGAGAGCTCTGCAAAGCAAATGCAAATTAATTGGAGGCCACCATGTGAAAGGGATCCATAAAGATGACCTACAAAAGATAAAAATTACCTCCTTGATTCCAGTGCAGAGGAGGACAGTTATAATGAGAACCAGGACAGCAGCACATGGGTCAACTAAGATGCCCAAGAATGTTTGACGAGCCAAAAATGTAGGAAGCTTATCTACACCTCCAAAAAACATGGCCTATAAATTGGAATGATGATTAATATAGCACCTTTGAACACCAAGAAAAGGAAAATATAATGTTCAAGGAACAACAAATAAACAGAAAAACTTTGCTTAGGGAAACATGATAAGATCATTAAAGAAGTAAGATCTAACCACGTTTGGAGATATGCCACGAGCAGCTGCTGCACCACCAAGAGTGTACTCAAGTATCATAGCCCAACCAATTAACCATGCAACCCTAGAGAACAATTGAAGTTTCTTTGAAAATAAGAGTTTTTCACTCTTTATGGCACCTTTGGTACTTGATCATTGTATTAGAGACATTTTTGGTAACTTGAAATTTTCCATATTCGACCTCCTTATCGACATTTATAAAAGTGACACTTTTAGTCCTCCCACTATGATATTGCCACAATAAGTGAATGACTAAAATGTGACTATGATAATAGTTGAAGGACCGAAAGTGTCACTTTCACAATAGTAGGAGGACTAAATGTGCAAAAGTTCATAGTCAAGGACCAACAGTCTATCTCTCTCAATTTTCGAAGGACTAGAAGTGGAAAACTAGAAATCGAGTACCAAAAGCTTCATGGACACAATAGTTGAAGGACCAGAAACTCTTTAAAAGTTAAAAATAAACTGATTTGAAGCTTATTATAGGATATACGATAAAGCATATAGAAATCAACATTTTTTTAGCTTTTCATGGATATTCAATGTCCTAACAACACAAAAACACCTTGAGAGATAATCATAAAGTTTAGAGATAGAGACAGGCTCAGAACAGCGCAAGATGCCAACTTACCCTTCTCCTATACAAACATATGAGAAATGATATGCACTCCCAGCAGATGGACAACGGCATGCAAGCTCTGCATAACAAAAGGCAGAAAGTGCAGCAGCAACGGCACCTATGAAGAAAGAAATAGCAAGAGAAGGCCCTGTATGCTCTCTAGCCACGGTTCCAACAAGAATATAAACTCCAGCCCCAATGGTTGCTCCTACACCTGATTAGAAGAGGCACATGGACAACAAGATCAGTTTTGCTTGAGCCTTGAACATCAATTATTTTACTCCCTCCGTCCCATTAAACTTTGCAAATTTTCCATAGTTAGCCGTCCCAAAAAACTAATCATTTCCATCTAAAGTTATAAATAATGTGATTAAAGTTATTTCTTCTCCTCTGCACGAATATCAACCACACACTTTTTAATTTATTATTCTACGTGGTCACATGGAAGTAAACTTTGGCCAAGTTTTATAGGGACGGAAGGAGTATCATATTAAACGCTCAGGACCAGTTTGAAAAAAGCTCTGGACGGTACCTGATAACTCTTTTAAGAGGAATAATTTTTAAAATCTACAACTATGACAACAGAAGTTGTAGCTCAGCAAATACTCTAAAACTACTTTGACAATCATTCTAATAACATGAGAAAATTATAAAGAACTCAGTTGTAGGAATGCCTTTCTGTTGAATTTATGATGCAGAAAAAGAAGCTACATATCTCCAGAGTAAAGCAATACTGCAAGAATGACAATTTACAGCATATCCGGTTACAAAATCTGGAACTCAGTATTTTATTTAATGTGATTAATGACGGGCTTCAATAATAAAATAATTATTTCAGTAAAGGTTTTTTAGGGAGTTATTTCAGTAAAGGTTGCAAAACCATTCTTCTCACAGTTATCATAGAAAAGCAGCAATCTTGATAATGGCAACCTAGATTTGGGATGATATGACCTGTAAACTAATAACCATGGCTAGCATGGGATTTAAATGCAGTCCAGCTGAGAACCTTACTGATTAGAAGGCAGCAGAAAAACTTCTAGCATGAGTTAGAAGCTACTTCTCAAATATGTTCCTTCCCTCCCATATCTAATAGACCACTTTCCTTTTGGAGAAGTCCCATTCCTATTGTCTCATTTCTTAAAATGGTTTTAAATAAGTAAACCAAAATAAGATGCTCTTTTAAGTGATAATATTAACCAAATGAGCACATTAAAAAAAGATGTTTTTCATGCATTTGTGCCAAAAAAATTGAAGCATTATCATCCGGGCGGAGAGTAATTATTATCCGGGCAGTAATTTTTCACTCCGTCCCAAGATTGCCTAAAGATATGACCAAAACTAGATATGTTAAGCTTTACTAATTTAATTAATGCGTCTAACCAAATAGTTTTTATTTATTAGTCTTTTGTTAGGATTATTTGCCTTGTTTTTAGATCTTTGACAACGAAAAAATATGTCTTGGTAGGGAAACCATTCTAACAAATTATATGCTTCCAACAGCAATGCCCAAACCATCAGTTAAAACAAAAAGGTTGTGACGCCTACATCTCTAACAAATTTATAGAACTGTTACTGCAAAGACGAAACAGATGGAAATTATTGAATGTGTCGGCCATATACAACTTGATAATCATATCAATCGAGCGGTAAGGAACAACAGCTTAAGCCTAAAGCAATTCGGCAGAGTTTACCCATAGCGATCAGATCAAATACAGAGAGCTTTCGAGCCAATTGCGGATGTCCTCCGTCGTCACGTGTACGAGTCGCCGCGGAGTCAACTGGCTTTCGCCGTAACAAACATCGGAAACCGTTCAAAAAATCGCTGCCTTTATCCGACTCAGCCGCCAGACTAGCCATTTCTGATCTCAGGCGGATAAGGATGATTAATCATGTGGTTTTTTATTCCAAGCCCTTCATAAATATTGCAATGTGGAGTACGAAGTATTCTATTCGTCTAGTTACCGTAGAATTATTTACTCTGTGATTATCGGTAATTCGTTTCTATTTTCACATTTTTATTATATTTAATTTAATATAATTATTTAAATGTTGGTAAACATTATGAAATACTAATAAAATATAAATCAAGTTAGAATCTTTTTAAAATAGAAATCATTCACTCATATTTGAAAGGAGACGGTGCTTTTATTGAATGAGATAAGTCATATCTGGAGAATGAAACATAATTCTTTCTATTTATAAGCTTTGTCTATATTTTTCTCTTATTTGAAGCAATTTAGTTTTAATATTTTTAATAGATTTTGTAGTACAATATCTAAATATAATTTTTAAATAGAAATCATTCACTCATATTTGGAAGAAGATGTGCTTTTATTGAATCACATAGGTCATATTTGGGAAAAAAAACGTAATTACTTTTTAGGATTATTAGCTTATTTTATCTGAATCATAATCAAATTAACAAATATATCATATTCTGTCACTTTTATCCAATAAAGGCTCAAACTTCATTTTTTTCAACATTTTTATTAAGGGTCAAACCTAATAAAATATAGATAGTATGTGTGAGTGACCAATCACTATACGTCTATAAGGCATGTAGTAAAAAATTGATTCACTCCCAAAATATTTTTAAATAGTTCCTTTTAGGATGTGACAAAAATTACTTCTTGTTTCTTCTAAAGAGATGCATTTTTACTATATTTTTTATCTACTTATTTATTAAATTATCTCTTTTTTAGCGGTGTTTGGTTGCTTAAAAAAATACAGCACCTAATTTAGATTTTCTAATAACTATACAAAATTAAACATTTTGATGAATTATGAACGTAAGTGGTGTATATACTACTCCGTAGTATAGTGTATACTAGACTAGGTATAAATAGAAGCTCGTTCAAACAATTTAGATACGAAAAATATTGACATGAGATGCAATAATGAAATAAAACAATTTAGATACAAAAAATATTGACATGAGATGCAATAATGAAATAAAAACAAAGAGGAACTCTTGAAAAGAGGAAAAACTACTCCTCTAAATTTGGATATTAACATAGTGGAGTTACACAATTATAAGTTATCTTAAAATTACTTTTAAGTAAAATTACTTTTGAGGAAGCTGTTTTAAAGGCCAATGTAGTAACTAGCAAGTGCCAGTGAAAGAAACTAGATAGGCTCGAAAGTGTGCTGGGTGGTGGTTGCTTCAATGTCAACATTTATTTAGACATTTTGTTCAAAATGTCTAAAATTGATATTTTGGAAAGGACTGATCAAAATTGTTTTCTCAGGCAAATCTTCCAAGGCAAAACTAAACAAAGATCATACTTCGTATAAAAAATAAAAGTAGTTTCATTTGGTACTTTTGTTCCTCTGCCTGCCATTTGTTACATTTGTATTGCACTATTGCTTTCCCACATTTTGTAGAGATGGTGAAAGTGGTGGATTTTAAAATTTTGAAGCTTCAAAAATACGGAATATATCATATCTTATACTAGTGGTATAAGTTCTAACTTAAAATTCTTACACCAGTTTTCCCCACTTACCACAACAAGTCAACAAAACACAACCCATTTGCGTAGGAAGGAGGGAAAGCTATTATCTTTGCTAACACTAAATGGAATTTGGAAGGTTCATCAACACTATAAATGACATATTTATTCACTTAAACACTCCCAAGACATAAGAAAAGCAATTAAATTACAAGTGTACAATCTAGTACATCAAAAGATTGTACGTTGTATAGATGTATAAAAAAAACAAACAAACACATGGCATGGAAATAGAGTAAAAAACGTCCATAAAAGAGATAACACATATGCCGCCTAATGCTGCCCATCATCAGCCCCAGCAAGAGAAGACTTCTGATCTTCAACTTCTTTTATCTGTCTCAAGATCTCTGCTCTTTTCAGCTCCAAACCTTCCATTTTTGCATTGATTTTCTCCAGCTTCTTTTTCAGCGTCTCAAGATCTTTGCATTTGCTCTTGCCTTCAGTTTTCTTCTTCTTATCAGACTTATCTTTCTTCTCATCCTCGAACTCCCTTTCCTTCTTTTCAGACTTACATATTCCCTCTGATTCAATCCCATCTATTTGTATTTCTCTTGTGGCCACGTCAGGCCCAGACACCTCAGTCTCTTCTTTATCATGCACTTCTTCATCCTTCCCTTCATTTTTGCATTTCACTCTAGTTTCCTTCTCCTTCTTTTCTTTCTTCTTCTTATCCTTTTTTGTTTTTTTATCTTCTGTTTCCTCGTCGTTTTCTTCATTTGATATTTCCTCGGATTCTACCTCTTTGCCCTTAGTTTTCTTTTCCTTTCCCTTCTCTTTTTTGTCTTTCTTCACCTTTCCCTTCTTATCCTCTTTGTCATGCTTGTCCTCGCCCTTCTCTTCTCCCTCCTCCTCTTCGTGTTTTATTTCCTTTTCTGTGTCTTTCTCTTTCTTGTGTTTCTTCTCTCCATCTTTCCTCTTACATTTCTCCTTTTTCTCCTTATCTCCTTCATCTTCATCTTGACTCTCCTCTTTGTTCTTTTCTTTCTTCTTAGATCTGTCCTTTTTCATCTTCTTCTTATCTTCTTCATCTTCACCCTCCTCTTTGCTCTTTTCCTTCTTAGATTTGTCCTTTTTCATCTTCTTCTTATCTTCTTCATCTTCACCCTCCTCTTTGCTCTTTTCCTTCTTAGATTTTTCCTTTTTCATCTTCTTCTTATCATCTTCATCTCCACTCGCCTCTGTGTTCTTTTCCTGCTTGGAATCCTTATGCTTTTCTTCTTTCTTACAATCCTGGTGCTTAAGCTCTTGTTCTTTCTCCACTGATTTGCTCTTCACATCAATTTCCACCTCAGTCTTTTCTGTCTTCTCATCAGACCTGATCTTGTTCTCAACTTTCAAATGAATTTCTTCCTTTTCCATCATATTTATCTCCATCTACTACTCCACTTGGCCTCTATCTCAGTGTTTCAGAAGCGCCTGAAAAAAGAATGAAAGTATTATATCAGATGTTCAATAACTTTCATCACAATGTCAGATATAAGTGAATCACTGAATCTGTTCAAATTCTGCGAACACGCAAAGTTAATCAAACATGTTTATAAAACCTCCTTTCCTAAGTAATTCGGCAGCTCCTACTTCCACCCTTTTGAGGTTCAATAGAAAATTTAGTAATATTTCTAATTTTGACTATAGTCAATAATTAACGTGGTGCCATCGAAGAAGAATAAATTTCAACTATCATCCATTAAAACATCATAAACTGAGCCTAATTTGGGGATTGAGGAAAGAAATAAATGCCACAAAAGCACTACAAGCCCAGGGAAAACCCTGATAGATTTGCAGAAAACCGAAGCAAGTGAATAAAAATTGAATCCACAAGCTAAACTCCACTTGTTGCTAGGAAATTAAGTAACGCGATCGGCGCCAATCTAGATGTTTCGTGTGATTCAAAGACGTTTAAAAACGAAACACTATTCTATCTGAAACAGGATCGCCGGATTAGATTCTTATAAAAGTGACAGTCTACAAGATCAAAGATTCTACAATACAGATACGATAAGCAGAGAGAGGCTAATACTACCTGCGTGTGAAGAGCAAAAACGATCGATCAATTTCTGAATTTCTCCACTGAATAAAAAAAGCAGCTGGAGGCGAGAGTTTATAGGCGCAGCTTCTTGTCTGAAATCATGAACTATCCTTTCCAGAAAGAAAGCTGTGGCATAAAATGCAGCGAAGTCACCCGTTTAAACCGTATTGATTACGCGTTCGTTGGATGAGTGTTCTTTTTTCAACGTAAACGCGTTAACATAATCCAACTGTGCTTTATCCTTTTACTTAGTTCAACCGATAGAGAGGGGTGCCATAAGGATTAAGTTCCGGTTTCGAATCTCGGCAATTACAATGAGAGTTTACTCAACATGGAGCCTCTACAAGTACCGGGGACGAAATCTCACATTCTATTTGTCAGATTGTGATTATAGTCCAATTTACATCCTCTCGTCGTATCATTCGGTCGGTGGGGGGCCTCAAGGATGGGGTGTCATCCTTTTTTTCTTTGTTTTGCTTTCATTGTAATCAATTACAAAGACTGCCACGTTTCAATATGGGTTGGGTTTCCAATTTATTACTCCCTACATCCCCTTATATTGTCCCGTTTTACCTTTTTGAGAAGTCACACTAATATTGTCTCATGTCATATTTGGTAAAGTTTGTGTGTCTCTAAATCATTTTTACTTTATTCTTACTTTATCAATTAATATCAACAACACATATCTACTTTTCTTAATAATCGTGACACCCTTCTCCGTACCAATATAAAAGGGACGGAGAGAGTACTTCCTATTTGTACCTCGAAACGCAATCGGATTGTAAAAAACATTATTTTATTGTATTGACTGAAAATGAATATAGTAGAAAAAGTTGCAATTGTTGTAAAACTCTGGAATTGACAAGTGTGAATTGTTCGTCCTTGTCACTAGGACACCAAGCTTTTCATGATCCTTGTAATAATTCTTATAATAGTTAGAACAAATGGCTCAATTTGTTATTGCTACCAAATCTGTAGATTAATCCTTTAGATGACTAATCATCAAGCTCAACTACTATGAACAGGACCCTGATAAAGCTTTGTAAATTCATTCAGAAATTTTCATATTAATTAATACTCCGTAAGTAACTTAGAGCATATTATTAATATATCTATCCATTGTTCTAAAACTCGCTAGGCGCTAGGCGGGCAGTTGAGGGGCGCCTAGCTTAGGCGGCCGACTAGGCCGATTTTTAGCCGACTTGACCAATTTTTTATCCGACTAGGCCGATTAGTGTTCTAAAGTGAGGTCTGACTAGGCCGACTAGGCCGATTAATCGGTCCGACTCGGCCGATTTTTAGAACAGTGTATCTATCTATTAAATATATTCTTCACCTTCTTCATTGACATATTTGCCTGGCTTTGCTTTTTTTTTTTTCTAAAATTCATTTTGAGAATTAACTCTTTTCTAATTTCTAATATATGAACGGAAGTCAAGGATTTTAAGTCTTTATTACCCCTTTTGATAGCTGATTTAGTAACCTTAGACTTTTAATTCATAAGGACATGTTTAATTGGTGGTTTAATAACACTGTTAGGTTACCAATGCGCGTGAATTAAATAGGTAGTGGTGCTTAAACGTATGATAAATGATGAAACAATAAAATGTATTGTTACGGTACCTTCAATTATTAATAGGTTAATGTAGCATTACCTTATAAATTTTGGAGGAAAATATATCTCAAAATATTAGTAACACCCTGAACTTTTCTAAAAATATGACTATATACTTGTATGTTTTTATATGTACGGTACGACCAAATACATGGTGCGTTTTTGCTCCTTCAGGGAGCAGAAGTAGAAGTTGGAGTGTTTGGCTGAAAGTGCAGAAGTGATTCTGGTGCTCTAATTTACTCTTAGAATCGGTTTTTTTAGAAGCTGGGGGAGACCAGCTTCTGAAAACTGATTTTGATTCTGCTTCTACTTTAAAAAAGAAGCAGAATCAGTTCCAAACACCCACTGGCGCCGTTGCCGGGGACGGTGTCGGATTTAAGGGTTAATTAATTTTAGCGACTTGTTTTAGTTTTTCGTAGGATTTTTGTCTGCTAACCTTGCAGGTCAGATCTAAACCTTGCAGGTCAGATCTAATTCTCTATTTATGGAGCCGCTTCCACTCATGAACCATCACATTTGGATGTTAGATTAGGAATAAAATTAGTGAACTCGTATGTTTGACAATTTGTTCTAATAATATCACTTTTGGGGAAGCATCTTTATCTAAATGTTTGTGTTTTAATTTTATTTTTTCATTTTGTACTAAATCTTTTTTTGTGCGTGTTTTAATTTGCTACTAGTAGTAGTAGCACTATGCAGTTTAGCGTGAGTGATGAGAAGTCTGTTTCTTTCATCTCAGTTCAATTATGCTCTCTTTAGGAACAACTAGACATATGATTTCAAGTCTGCTATGAGGATTGATGATCAGGGGAGGGCTTTTTGTATTTATGTAATGTGAATTTTTATTGAATATCACTTTGCCACTTTCTTCTCCAAAAAAATACTACGTATCACTTTTAATTAGCACATCACAATCATCTCAATTAAATTCAATGTGGTGGATTACGTAAATACTAGTGTGATGTCAAAAAAACTTACAAGTTTATTGTCAATTGCCAAACATTGATTATCTATAACAACATTATATACTCGTTTTAATTATGTATCCCGGCATGTACATAGTACACTTCACTTACTTTGAGTTAAGAGGAGAGTCTTAGAACACCTCTTCGAAGCCAGAGCTCATACATCACCATATGAAACGCATCAAAATCGGCCGGAAAATTGTTCCACCGGAAATGCCTCTGAACCTTCATCACATTGCTCTGCAGCTTCACGTAATCCGAGTAATCTATCCCTTTAAGTATCTCCTTCAACCGAAATATGTCCGCCGTCGAAACCACCACCGAGAAGCTCTCCCAATTCAAAATGTCGGCGAACGGGAGATCGTAGAAGTCCGCCAATATCACCGGCACGCAGCCGTAGTAGATGGCGTCGCCGATTCGGGCAGTGTTGATCTCGTACCTGTGAAATTATAATTGAGCTTTAGCATCATATAATAATACCTTAACTATTGGCGTCGCCAATTATATGAGTAATAATAAATATTAGAGTACCTTAATTATCGATCATGTTAAAATAGTACCTTAATTATACATAAATGTTTAAACTTGAAATTTTATTTACATTTTCGGCCAAAAAATCACACGTGTCTATCGGAATTCTATGCGTAAAGTCTATTTCACCTTATTTTTATTCATATGATCACTATAGGCGGAGTGACACTACACATGGAATTTTGATCGCCGTGAAGGATTTTTGGCCGCAAATTTGAATTAAATCTCAAGTTGAAAGAAACATTTATGTATAGTTATGATATTGATTTGATTCATTTAAAATATCAGGTACCAAAACCCAACATTACCAGTAGTTATTGTACCATTTATGCATTTGACCCATTCTTACCCCTTTGCGTGGATGCAGTATTTGCTCCCCAATAGCGCCTCCGCGTAAGACGTTTTCAGGCGGCTTCCGTGGACGGAGATCTCCTCGTCGTCCTTCCACCGCCCGACCAAATCTCGCCGGACCCGCGAGTTCATCGCCCCGGCGTAGAAAGCGAGCGTCGACCGCTTTTCCGGCGGCCGGCGCGGTGGGTCCCCGTCCCGCGGCCATATCTGCGGGACGGAAGCGTCCTTGTGGGCGATGTACCCCGGCAAGAAGTAGCTGGAGGAGCAAACCACCTGAACGGCGTTCAGCTTCAGATCAACCGCTTTCTCCATGGCCGACCTCCCGACGGAGTGGCAGCAAACGTAGAAATGGTCGGCGCCGGCGGAGCGGTTCCAGAAAGGGTACTCGCGGCTGACGTGAGAGACGTAATCTCTGACGTAATCCTTAATCCCGCCGACGCCGACGCGCCTGTCGTTTCTCAGGCCGGCGATGGAGAAGGGCAGGAAGAAGAGGTGGGCCTGGTTTGGGTCTTGGGTGATGAAATGGCTTCTGAAGAGGGATTGCTTGAAGTAGCTTTCGCTGGCGTAGTTGCCGCCGGGCTCGCCGTCGGCCGGTAACAGAACATTCGCGAAGGGGTCGTCTTTGTTGTGGGGATAAACGAATATCTTTAAGGTTCCATTCATTTCCTCGTATTCTTCGAAAAAGAGATCTTGGTCGTGAAACACTTCCTGTCCCACGTTTCTTGTCCTTGCCCCTGATTAATCCAAATGTCTCGGTTAGTATATTCGAAAATGAAGTCTACCCTGCGTTAAAGACATTTTAATTGGATAATCCAAGCTGACTAGAATGAACAAAGAAAATATTTAAATAAGAGTAATGTATTGAAAATTTTCTCAAATAAGAATAACATTATTTTCATTCTAAACAAAACTCGTGTATTTTATATGAGGGAAATGTACATTTATTCTTTTATTATTTTAATAACACTAAGGGGTTGTTTGAGTAATGGCGTTTTGGTAAAAAACGCTATTGCTTTTATACTTCAAACGGTGCAATATGCAGCGTGTGGGGAGGCATAACGCTGGAAACCAAACACGAGCTAAGAACATGTTTGTAAGTATAAGTTTTTACCTTTTAACTTCTGTACAATTTAAAAAATCTTTAAAAACTTGTAATTATATGTTTGTCATGTCAATTTTTTACGAGTTTTTTAAAAAAATAAAAATCTCTTTTGACACGCTGCAGTGAGTAGCATTCGAGAAAAGTCCTTAACTTTCAGCATTAATTAGTTCTGACAGCTTATATATCATAAAGAACTAATCAAATAGTCAGCTTATCAAACAAATATCACATTTTTTGTTTAAGATCTTTTCGGTCATTGAAAGCTAACAGTTACGGAGTATTAAAAAAAACTCTTAAAAATATTATTTTAGTTAATTGTTTCAAACATAGCTTAAATAACTCATGTTTTAGGGGAAAACATAGTTGGTCATATTTCAATACGTTGTCTACATTTTATCCTATTTCAAACGTTTTTGAGCTTTTGACGACCATGTCAACAAAACATTATACTCCCTACGTCCCAGAAAATTCTTCCCACTTTGATTTGGCATGGAGATTAAGAAAGTGAAATAAAGTGGAAATGTGTGGTTGTGGTTGTGTAAGAAAAAGGTGAAATGAATGTGAACCACACAAATTGTCCAAAAAGGGAAAGTGGGAAGAATTTTTTGGGACGGCCCAAAAAGAAAAGTGAGAAGAATT